AAGTGCCAAAAACAAGACCTACTATGACCATAAAGTAAAAGGGGTTGTCCTGAAGCCTGGAGACAGGGTCCTTGTCAGGAACCTAGGAGAGCAGGGAAGACCTGGGAAACTGCACTCCTATTGGGAAAAGAAGATATACGTGGTTAAAGAACAGGTCCAAGATAACCCTGTGTACATTGTTTACCCTGAAGGGGATGACAAGGGGAGAATCCGGACCCTACACCGAAATCTGCTGTTGTTAGTCAATGATCTACCAATGGAACACCTCTCACACAGCAACAAAGAGACACAGAGGAAAAAGAGAAACAACGTGGATAGAGTCAATGGCAGAAAAGACAAATCAGTCCAACCAGAAACATCTGAGTCGGATGAGGAATCCGGGGCTTGATACTGGCTAAGGATACCAATAAAATGGACCGTGCCAGGAAGGACTACAATCCATGAGGAACGGATGATCCCTGAGGAGGGGAGCCCAGAGCTTCATATGTCACCCTTTCCTAAAAGGAAGTTGACTAAAACCCAGAATGGGTCAAGACAAAGGGTGCAGGAGGGGAATGCACATGATCACAGTGGCACCCCATCTGAAACGGCAGCGTACAGACAAAGTGGAACTGAGGAGGGAACCGTGCAGCAGGCGGTTGAGGCATGTGAAGGTGTTGCATGGCAGAATGACTTGCAACCTGAAGTTGTGCAGGAATACCCATATCAAATACAACCAGAGGATGATCGGACAGCTGACCCTCCTGATGGGGATGTAGAATACCCTCCGCCTGGACCCCAGCAACAGGGGATGTCGGAGCCTGAACAGAGTCCTTCTATTCACCCACGGAGATCTACTAGACAGAGAAGACCAAGAGAAATGTTAACATACTCATCTTTGGGTCACCCAACTTACCAGCCACATCCTGTGGTTCACACTGCAAATTGTTACCTTGCTCCTGCTGTCAGTTTTGGACAATTACATCCAAGTTTGCCACCATTCCATGGGACACAGTTTACTCCATACCACTGTACACTGCCTCTTTTCCCAATGATTGTTTGAGTACGGGCCAGCTGGTTGTTTCCACGTGTGTAGGTTGAGTAAACTTGGAACTAGTTGGAGGTTCTTGTGAAATCTTTTTTTTTTTTTTGGTCAAAGTGTCGGGGGCCACTTTTGTTGTCGGGGTGCATGTAGCACCCATGAAATGGATTGCCACATTTAAATCTTGATCATATGTATATATTTTTTATTTTATTTGTCTTTTAAACGCTTATGATTTATTTATGGACACATTAAGTCAGAGCGGAACCTTTGTTTATGGATTTGTTGTTCCGGGGACTGATAAAGGGATGCCGGCGCCTGACGTTTCCTCAGACGTGAACTGGAAGGAAAAGAGAGGCATCCTGTCTTCAGTACTCTGCTTTTGCCTGCTTTATACAGGTAACCTACTTGTGACGGCAGTTACCACTCCTGGGACCCGTTACATTCCTCTCTCAGGCTCATGTAGGTCCCATGGCACATAGCTAATAAAACAACCAGAGAGGGGTCAATTGATCTTTTTCATTAATTCTGGTGGCTCCAAGTGTTGTCCCAACTTGGTTACTCTATATTAATAAAACAACAAAACAATGACACCACAACTGTTAGAGGAAAATGCTATTTGAAAGCCTACATTGTGAGGGTATTGAGACCACAGGCCTTCATCTTTATCAGCCAGCCCTTCCAGTAGGGTCTGGGGACACGGAAGTAATGGATGGAACCTCCCAGGATGCGGAAGGGCTCTCCCTTCAGAGTGAACTGGGACAAGTCAGCCCTCAGACCGTCTGTACTGCTCATTTCTCTCTGTCATGGTCTGCGTCTGTATCTTCCCCATGTGTCTCCTTATGTCCTCCATCCCTCTTTAGATTCCCCTTTTGTGTCTCATAGCGCCCTCATGTGTCCTTTGTCTGCATCTTTCCCCATGTGTCTCCTAATGTTTCTCCATCCCTCTGGATTCCCTTTTGTGTTCTCTTAGCGCCCTCATGTGTCCTTTGTCTGCATCTCTGCTGTGTGTCTTAAGTTGTAGCCCCAGCCTCTTGTTCCTCAGTTCATTGTATGTGTGTATGAGTTTGTGTGTGTCAGTATGTGTATGTGTTTGTGTGAGTCCTTCCCTTAGTCTTTAGGTTTAGTTTTGTGTTTTATATAGTGTCAGGTTTATCTGCCCTCCACTGGTTCTCTTCCCCATCCAGATAATTGTTGTCACCTGCCTTTCCTCCAGCCTCACTCCACACACCTGCTTCCTGTTTCCCTATTGCTCCTCCCTGTCTATATAAGCCCTCCTTGTCTCATTGTTCTTGTCGGTCCATTGTTGTTTGTCAGCGTTATTTGTTCTGTCAGTCTGCTTGTTCCTCTTGTGTTTTTTCACTCCCTGGATTTTTGGATTTTGGCTCCCTGCCGTTTGGATTTATTTTTGTTCTTCCTCCAAATAAAGGATTTTTACTTACATACCCACTCCTGTCTCTTGTCATCCTGGGTTCTGCATCTTGGGTCCTAACCTCCTGCTCCTAAACGTGACACTCTCAAGTTGCATATCTGATCAAAACAGCTATCTGGTAGAGCAATGAAGCATGGATTTGTCATGTGTTGTGGTACAAACATAAATAAAAACATTGAAAGGAAAGCCTTACCAAGTCTTGATATCAGTGTCCAAGTGTTGGAGCAGATCCAGATCACAACAACACCACAGTCAGAGCCGTGCCCTGACTCTGAGCTTACCAGAGAGCTTTTGAGAGTCAGATGGTGCTGGGAGGCCTCGGACACTGTAGATGAGAGAGACTATTGTTGTTTGAGAACAACAATATTGTGATGCTTGCTCTCTCTCTCTCTCAGTCAGACAGATGAGACCTAAAATAGTAGTCATAAAGTTTACAGAGCAATACCACTCGGCCACTGAGAAGTTGGCCACCAAATAGCACAGCCACTGCTGCAGCTCACCGCTCCCCACGGGGATGGGTCAAAGACAGAGATGTAGTTTCACCAGTGTGTGATGATGTCTAATGAGACCTTAAATGATGGACTGAGGCAGCTCTTGAAGAAACCTTATTGGCTCAGGTAAGGTGTTCTGATAATTCACACAGCTCACAGGTCACAGTTCACAGTTCAGTAGGTGTATGTCCCAGTTACGTCTGTGGTGAAGCACCAACTCCAGCCAGAGTCAACTCCTTTGTATCCTTTATCTTCTAAGTTTTACATGGTCTCTGCTGATCCAATACTCTCAAGACATGTTGTTTGTGAGCCCTCTGGTACCACTCCTCCTCCGTCCAATTGACGTCCCATTGACATGCTTGGATACAGCAATCTGAACATCTGGTTCTTCTAGCAATGACCTCATCCAACATGTGGAGGGCAACTGTCAAATCAGGACTGTTCTGTGTGATTGTGTATCCTACCCATTTAAAAGTTCTTTATGAGTGTTTTCTGCTTATGTGACTAGGTGAGTCTACAATCCTGAATGTTTCATCCTAATTATCTAACATATCAAAAGCAGGGTTTTCATTGGCTGTAAGCCATAATCAACATATAATGACATATAATGCAGCGTAAATCTATTGAGAAATTAAAAGCTGACACATGTCTTTTTTCGTGTAATAAATTTCTTAAATATAATTCACAAATGTCACTATATGAATTTAATAATTGAAAACAAAACTGAACTTTTCAATGACATTTATTCTAAATTGTTGAGATATATTTAAATGTATTACCATAGTAATCAAATTTGATTATCATGAAGTGGCAAAAGGTCTTGAAAATACAAAACCCTATTAAGAAAACACACACACACACACACACACACACACACACACACACACACACACACACACACACACACACACACACACACACACACACACACACACACACACACACACACACACACACACACACACACACACACACACACACAAACTTAGTGACAGTGAATTTAACTAATTTGTGTATTTTAAATAAAAATAAACACCAGTAAAGTGTTATAAACCAATGGCCCACTGGTTTTCTTATTGATAGATGAAGTAGAGAAGTAACACACAAGATATGCTCATACATGTCTTTATTTAAACATTCAAATGTATTTTAAATATGTAAGTTTAAATGAGCAGATTCCAATAATTTATTTGGTCAAAGAAGTGCATTTTGACTAGAGGATCGTCGTTTACAACTTTTTACAAATGTGGGAACCAGGGGCGTGTCCAGGGAGTGGCCTGGGGTAGCACATGCCACCCTTAGAATCTGATTGGCCACCCCATGTGCCACCCTACTAAGTTCCAGTTTAAATTGACTTTACATTGTCGACAAAGGCTTGAGTTGTAAACTCCAAAAATAGTGTGTGGTAGCATGCACCTTTAACATTGTCTTCTAGCCCAGGCCTACAGAACATTTCTGTAGTATTAATATTATTTATTATTTTTTCATGTTCACATAATAGTATTTAGAGTCCCACTCAACTCCAGTTGGTGGCAATAATGCAACAAGAAGTGACTTGCTAACCACCACAAAACTAGAAGATGAATAGAAAAAAAGGTGATTGTGCAATGTGAAACTGCAAAATTCACTAGAAAGTAAATAAATAAATAAACAATTTGTGTAAATAAATAAATAAGCATAACCATTGGTGCCACCCATGCATAAAAAAGTGCCCCACATGGGCCACCCCATTTTAAAAGTCCTGGACATGGCTCTGGTGGGAACAAACTGTTTGAACTATTAAAATCTTCCTTCAGTTTAAAAATTGCACAAATAATTTACAACGTCTAAAATTAATTCTACAGCATTAAGAACGTTAGCTGGAACGGACTTGCTAGGGAACTTTTATTTATTAAAAGTAATTTCCGCTGAAAACATGATGTTTAAAATTGCAAAAAGAAACAAAATGTAACCTCTCCAATCGGATTTCACTAATTCGTACAAATATGAAGGGTTGTAAACACTTTCTTTGAATAAACAATATTTATTTCGTTTTACATTTTCCCTCCCACCTGAGTAATTTCGTCACGGTCCCAGCTGTCGCGCGCCGCTGGCTCTGCTGAACCAACAACAGCCATCCTTCACAAACTGGGATACTTTTCTCCCCGGAAGTTGGAATACTGTGGTAGCTCTTGAACTTTTTGTGTTATTTATCGCAAATTTAACGTACCAGCTTCGAGTTCAGCGTAACGTGAAATGAGAGAATACTCTGGAAACATGTTTTCAGACGACTAGACTCCAGATATGCGCATTACTTTGCTGAAACACGAGGAACAGCTGTCAGTGAAGTCAAGTCGTTTTCATCAATGGAACACTCCTCTGTATTAGGAGTTCGTTTATCCCTAAAGCAGCGATATTTTCTCCTCATCCTTATTGCTGCTGCAGTGATCATTACTTATCAGTTTTCAAGGTAAGACAAAATAACGTAACCAAGGGGATGATAAGCCCCGCCCACCGACATTTTAACCACGGAGGCTTCTGTTTGTTTAGTTTCTGGACTTCTAGCTAGCCTTTAGCCTTTAGCATTTTATGAATGAGCTCCTGCTGGCTTGTGGACACTTGGCTCACAAGTCTGTGAAAAGTCTGTCTAATCAGAGGTTGTTTGGATCTGCTTGGTTGTAAATAATAACCATTCTCTTAATTTTACTGATCATTTGTTCAAGTTGGGCTCATATGACAGTACGTCCACAAATTAATTGTTTCTGGTCGGCTCAGGGTTAACCATCAGGGTTAACACAGAGGTGTGACTTTCCTTTAATGAATAATCCAGAAACGATAATAACAGATAACAGGCTGCACTCCTTCTTTCTTATTACTGAAAGGGATTTCTAAACAAGTGAACTGAAATAATCAAAGCTCGAAGGTTTCTCCCAAATGTCTTCTTCGTTTACAAATCTGTGCTTTTTTTCTCTATGGATATATTAATATGCTTTTTTCCCCCTTTTCCCACTCAGGAGCCATCCTGAAGTTGTAAGAATGCACCGTGTAGAGGGTCTGAGGGCCGACTCGTCGCAGTTCACCTTAGAGAAGAGACCGTTACGGATCCTGGGAGGCTCTGTGCATTACTTCAGAGTTCCCAGAGCCTACTGGGAGGACCAACTGCTGAAGATGAAGGCATGTGGCCTCAATACTCTCACCACGTAAGGTCCCAGTGTAACACTAACACAAACGTGTAAGGCCAATCAGAGCAGCAAAATGTAAACTGCAATTTTACAAAACAATTTTAAAAAATGGCCAGAAGCCAGTGGAATGATAACGTTTCATAAAAGAAATCTACTTCATTTGCCTCTCAGGTATGTGCCGTGGAACCTGCACGAGCCAGAGCGAGGGCGGTTTGACTTTGAGGATCAGCTGGATTTAGAGTAAGGACAAATAAAGTGAGAGGATTTATTTAGTCTTTGATAGAAGATCCTGCAGAGGGCACTGTTGCACTTCAAGAGTTCTTGTTGTTAAACCCAGATGGTGAATGCAACCAGTCACGCTCCATAAACATTTGTGATTGATTTGATTTATTAGTTGAGTCCCTTTCAAACTCAATGATTTTAAGAATATGTCGCGTGCATCAAATGAATAATAGAAACAAATGTCTCACAATGTGAAGAACGTGAAGGAAATGAGGCGACACACCGTAGAACAGATGATATGTGATTTACAATTAATTGTCAGCTTCATCTTAATTTGACCGGCAACAGCATTACAGTGCTGTGAAAAAGTATCTACCCCCCTTCTGTTTTTGCTTTTTGGTCATATTTTCATTTAAAAATTTCTAAAAACAATATATAAAGTATATATAAATGAGTACACCCCCACTACATTTGTCAGAAAACCTTTAGTTTTTTTTCAGAATCAATTTTTCTTTGAGCTACCAAACCACAAAATACTCCCACAAATGTGGCCCATTGATTGCAAACTAGATTTGTTTATTTGAACACACAAAAATGTGATTTTCCTAACAAATCCATTTAAGCGCATGTTGCAAAACTGAGTACACCCCAATTATAGTCTTAGGAGAAAAGCCACACTTAAGACTACAAAATTCGAATTAACAGGTGTTCAACCACAGGTGAGTCTGATGATTCATTTCAGAGGTGTCCAGCAGACAGGTGACTGGAAAAGGGTTTTACTTAACAAAGAAAAGCCTTTCCTGTTTCATGCTGTCAGCAACGGCTCCGTATGGAAGAGAAATGTCACAAAATCTGAGAAAGGAAACAATTTCTTTACACGAAAAGGTGAGGGCTACAAGAAGATCAGCAAAGCTTTAGATATCAGTCAGAATACTGTAACAATAGTGACCCAAAACTGTTAGAAAGATGGAAGTGCCACCATCTTACAGAGACGTCCATGGAAGTTAACATCTGAACAGGAGCCTCTTCTGATGAGCAGGGTTGGAGAAAATCACCATGCATGTTCACTACAGTTAGCTAAAGCAGTAGAAAGCCAAACTGGAGTGACCGTTTCCCGTGACATCATACTGCAGAGGGATGGCCTGTATGGGTATCGTCTACGAAGGAAGCCTCTCCTAAAGCCCATGCTGAAAGAGATGAAGGCTGCTGGGACTCTGGAGCGATGAGAAAGATCACTGATTTTGGAACTAATGGTTTCAAAACTGTGTGGTGTCGTAATGGTGAGGATTTCAAAGAGAAATGCATGGTGCCTACAGTGAAGCATGGTGGTAGCGGTGTCCTTATGTGGGCTGCATGAGTGCTGCTGGTGTTGGAGAGCTGCGTTTCATTGATGGAATGAACTCAACAATGTACTGCTCTATACTGAAGGAGAAGATGCTGCCATCACTCCGTGCACTTATTTGTCGTCGTACACTTTTCCAACATGACAATGATCCAGAACATACATCTAAAGCTACTGTTGCATTTCTGAAGAAGAACAGGATGAAGGTGATTAAATGACCAAGTATGGCTCCTAATCTGAACCCAATCCAACACCTGTGTTGAATTCTGAAGCAGCAAGTTGAGCGTCACTCCATCCAGCATCTAGGCTCACAAAGAGGTTATTCTTGAAGAATGGAAAAAGATAGATGTTGCAACATGTCGCCAACTTCTTCATTCAATGCCTAGAAGACTTGGTGCTGTCCTCATAAATCATGGTGGTCATACAGAATACTAGATGTAGTAGTTTTTGTTGTGGGGTGTATTCATGTTTGCTTTAATCAATTTTAGTTTGTGATCTAAGTTATATTATTAACTTTAATTTCATGTTATGGATTTAAACAAGTGTTCAATAAAATCAGCCTTGTGAAAGTTCTGGAGATTGTTTATTTGCTCTTTGAGCTAACGATTAAACTCATACTCTTTAAAGGGGGTGTACTCATTTATGCTGACCACTGAAATGTAATTATATTATATTTATATATTTATACATACATATATATATATATATATATATATATATATATATATATATATATATTTGTGTTTATTTCGTAATTTTACATCCTATCTTTAGGGCTTACCTTCGCCTTGCAGCCAGCTTGGGACTCTGGGTGATTTTGCGTCCTGGACCGTACATCTGTGCTGAATGGGATTTAGGTGGACTACCAAGGTAAAAAGAAATCCAAGAAGTAGAATTAAATGTTTTTTAATCTGTCTTTTATGCAATGAATAATTTTAGTATAGCCTGCGGGTTAGGGGATCTCTAATCCCCAATTTTGGACAGGAAATGGGCTGTTCAGTCAAACAGTAATCTGTTTGTTAGCTCTGTCTTTGCTTCAGGCTGAAAAGTCAAGTGAATTTCTTTAAGTGCACATTTCAGCACTTGTGTTCCCGTTGGAGAGTAATTTGTTTTAGTGGCCCACCTTACAAGGTATTAAGAACAAAGGGCAATAAAATCTACATCATTTAGGCTGAACATTTCTCTTGATGAAAGTCACTGATGACTTTCAGTGAGATGTCGGGAGTGAGCGATAATTAAATCTGACAGGCTCATATCCCTGAAAGGATGAATTCACTTACTTCTGTAATTAAAATACATTTAAACCAATAATTGGGTAGCTGTTGGCAGGAAATGACTGAAGAAAAGTATTTTGGGGGTCGCTTTGCCCTTGAGAGTGTGTGCTTATTTAATAAACACCAAAATAAATTGTTTAAAAGGACAACCAGTGACTTCTCCTTGAGGTTAAAGCCCTAGCTGTGCTTGGGCTGGTGCTTTACTGCAAAGAGAATCCGCAACACAGAGGTTTAAAGATCAGATGAGTCATGTTTTGATTTATCAGCTGGCTGCTGCGAGATGAGAAGATGAAACTTAGAACGACCTACTTCGGCTTCACAGATGCGGCCAGCTCCTTCTTTGATCAGCTCATCAGGAGAGTTGTTCCTCTTCAGGTACTCTGGAAATCACTAACCGCTTCAGAAAAATCATTTAGGCATTATTATTCTTGGAAATCTAAAGTTGGTTAAAACTTCATAATCACATCATAATTAAATACACTGAAAAGCTGTCTAGAGATACATGTGTTTTCTATATCGATACTTAAACATGACTGCATCTTATGTATTCAGATCTATTAGTTTATCAATAGATCAGGCTGAAGATTACATTCAGAGTGACTTAGCTGATTTTGATGTTGCTGCTGCTTTTCTCCTTTTGAACAGCAGGTTTGTACCAACACAGCAGAAATGGCAGCAGCAGAAGAGTAATGCACTGTAAGAAGAGCCCTTTAGGAGATACATGCCCCGTGTCCCGACTTATCTACAAGCATGTAGAAACAAAACTACCTTCATAGGTTTCATGTCACAGTTAAAAAATTCAGTTTGATCATGCTTAAATTAGTTATTCTTTCTTCCTGAGGACAAGCACATTTAACCTTGTCCAACAACATCATTTAACATCATCTTCTCTTTCTTGTCTACCTAACCATATTTATGGCAGACAGATTGTATTACTATTCCCCATTAGGCATTATCTGGCTGCTCTAGGTGTAGCGTTACACATATACGGTAATGTAAAGACCTCCTTTAGTCTGGCTGCTTGTTTCAATAGATTCAACAAGGTCAAGGCCTCCCAAGTCAACTCCCTGGTTCACCGGGAAAACTGTAGCTTTGTGTCATTTTGTCATTTGAAGACTTGATGACATAAATTTCTTATTACTATTTATTTATTTTTACTACAACCCCTCCAGTTTGGACAAATGTTCGATGGAAGCTATCAAACGGCTAGCACATGTAGCCAAACAAAAGAATATATCGACATTTGCTGATTTTGAGGTCAACTGAATGTTTGAAAGAAATATTTTGTGTAGTTTGCAAAATAATCAGCTGTTAGTTTCTGTGTTCATCTTCAGACACAATCATCAGAACCTGTAAATGGCAAAAACAGAGTTATAGTTTTTTGAGCTTTCCTTATAATAATTATTTTAACATGCAGTAATTGTATAACAAAATGTTTCACTTGTCAAGTGTTGATTCGTTTTTGGAAACAAATGGTAACAAAATTAGCCTCTCATGTGTTGTTAACTGCTGTGTAAAGGTCGTAGGTCCTCAGGATTATGTTTCATCATTTTCTCATTGCTTTGTTTATGGTGTTTGTGTTTCCCTATCTTCAGTACTTTTGTTACTGATTCCAGTCCATCTCAACCTGCACTTCAAGAGTTTTCACAAATAGAAACGGGTGGACTATAGTGGCGATTGAACACGTAGGACACTAAAAGCTTAAAGTATAAATTGCTGTGTTTTGTCCAGATGGCGAGTTAGGCTCCCTATTAGGGGTAGACCAATATATCGGGCCGATAGTTACCATTTTTTATCAGTATTGGCCGATATTCATCAGAGTAAAGCAGATTTAAAATCAGGCACATCTTTGGGCAGCCCGGTGATGTTGCAGAATTTAATTTAAATGCATTTGTACATTCACCAATAACATCTGCATAATAAATACTAGGGGGGGGGGGGTGTTTTGGTGAAATTCTGGTGATACGATATGTATCACGATGCAGTGTATCTCTATATTGTGATACATTCAGTCAGACTTTATTAGCGTCCAAACTGATACGTAACATGTTTAACGTGAGGTATCTGAACCATAATAGAGGAATTTACGCTTCAATGTTGGAAACAAAACCCATTGCACACTGCTGCCAACTAGTGGTCGGTGTTTGAATTGCACCAAAAGAAAAGAAAATACACAAACCTGTGCATGTGAATTCTTCCAAAAGTTAGATACACGGCTTGTAAATATCAACGTAACATCACAGGAAAAAAAATCACGATTTATTGCTATATTGATATTTTTGATACACAGCTTTGAATATCGATATATAATATCACAGGAATAAAATATCACGATATATTGCCTTATCGATATTTTCTTACACCCCTAATAAATACTCCAAATGAACTTTATTTAGGTGTCTGACTTTAACACTGAGAAGTGGACAAAATTAAGATTTAACAGTTAGTTAAATTCTGACTTCAAAAACTAATTCAGCTACAGAAATTTTGTGCATCAACTGATGTTATTAGTGACATTTTAGCATGAAAATTAGGTGGAAAATGTCAAGAGATCATCTATGAAAATCCGCCCATAAAAACCAGCCGTACATATCGGCCATCGGCTGACCATGACTCCTACATATTAGTATCGGCAATAGAAAAAACTGTATTGGTTGGACCTCTACTCCCTACCCGCCTTTTAAGGATAATGTGTTGGTATTCACCCAACGTGTGTGATTTTATTCACACTGTCGCTTTTTAAACAGAAATGCACACACAGGCCTGCAAAAATTCTGGACAGCAGGTCTGACATTAGGGGTGTATTTGTGAAAAAATCTAGTTATAAGATTAATATAACAATAATGAGTAAACAATACTATATTGTAATACTAAAAACCAGAGGATGTGTTCAACATTTAGGGCTTAACTAATTTAGAAAACTTAGGTCAGACGCTTCCAAGATCCATCTAGTGTTATTGCAAGTTAGTTGTTCCATCAGATTGAAGGCATTAAAAACTGCTGCCACCTATCTTCTGAAGTTTGAATTGCAACAAAAGCAATATTGTAAATGTTTGCATGTCAGTTCTTAATAAAATACCGTTACATAATTTTAAAATATTGATTCGGTATCATACTACAAAATACCACAATATTTCTGTGTATTGATATTTTCTTGCATCCCTATCTTTCATGGTCTCTTTGTTTTTGTCATAAAGGAAATAGAAAAGCAAACTGATCCAGGTTTTATTAAGGTTTTCTGTAAAGAACAATCTGGTCTGCAGTGCTCTGTGAAACTGCTAAAAATAACAACCCTTTAATGTTTACCCTATTTTCTTCTTTTCTGCTCAGTGCATCAGTGATTTTGCACTTTCATATCAAAGGGTTGTTAACGTTTGGCTGTTTTGAGAGAGAAAATGGTCCAAAAACAGGTGCCAGCCTGTCTCCTAATGTGTCCTGCTTTCATTCACTAATGAATGTGCAGTACTCCCAGGGCGGCCCCATCATAGCAGTTCAAGTGGAGAACGAATATGGCTCCTATGCTGAAGATGACAAGTACATGCCTTTCATCAAAGAGGTATGAAGCATTGTAGAAATAAAATCAGAAATGCAAATTAAATCCACCAGCGTTAAGTAGCCGGCTCCTCTGTTCTGTTGAGTTGATTCTCTAATCCTTCCTTCATCAAGGCGCTGCTGTCCAGAGGAATCACAGAGCTGCTTCTGACCTCTGACAACAGAAACGGGCTAAAGCTCGGAGCAGTGAAAGGAGGTATTGTCAGATAGGCTGAACAAGCTTGTGCGCACACATGCACAGTATGTTGGTTTGTGTGTGTTTTCATGCACGATGACATCACGCCTGAGCCGGTGGCAGCCCATGTGACTGCAGTTCAGGACCAGTTTGTCCACAGAGGGTCGTGTGTTTCCCTATGAGGTTGCTCTTTTAAGACGCTTGCAACAAATGTCTTGTTTTAAGGAGAAAAATAGTTTTCTATTCCATTCAAGTTTATTTATATAGCGCCAAATCACGACAAGAGTCGTCTCAAGGCACTTCACATAATCCTGAACATTTTTAACAATTTTTTATTGTAACCAAAGCAGATGCAGTGCTGGTCTCAAATTTGTGCCTAAAGAAGGTTTATTGGGCCATTTTGAAGTGTGTGTCTGTGTAAAAGCTATAATTACTGTCTCTTGTTAGAAGCCATAGAGTTTAAGTCCTGCAGGATGGATGTGCTAACAGCTAGTCTGAAAGCAGCAAAGACCTTTATGGATTGCTTCTGTCTTAAACCAGTTCCAGTCTCTAAAAGTTTGCAGCAGTTTACATGAATGTTATTTTATAAACCTCTAACCCTCTGGAGGCAGGCGTTGCAGATTTGCAACAGTTAAAACCCACCTAACTGGTTACTCCACATACGTATTTCATGAGCATTTTTTTACTCAGAAGTACCCCTGAAGCACTTAGTTGTTCGTCCTTTTGTCAAAACTTATTTTTGAGCCTGAGAGGGTTAAGCCACTGTCACATTTCATACTGCGGAAATTTAAAAGCTGTCCTACCTCACGTTACAGCATAGGTGGAGCAGGTAATATTTCCGTTGGTGAATAACCCTGTAATGTAACAACGATGGAGGTGTAACGGTTTATGAAATAACATCATATGAACTCTGAAGGCTTTGGTTCCAACAGGACTTTTAACAGTTTTTATACAATCACAGGCTAACATCCGTCTCAGCATTTTATTATATACTCTTAAATAATTACTGCATATTTATGACCACTTTAAAGGTGTGATTCACTGAAACAAAGCTCTTTTAAATCTTCTGATTTAAAATCGGTCACTCTGAGTTTTTCCTGCAAGCTGAACATGTAAATAGTCTCCAGCACCTATCTCCTGCGTTAGCTTCTGTGAAGTTGTGAAACTCTAGGATTTAAAAAGCCTGATGGATTCACGTCAAGTAGTTGTTTGGACTCGCCCATACTGACTCACGACGGGGAAGGCGGTTGGCGTTTTAGCATCCAGAATCAGCAGAGGACATCTTGGCAAGCAGAAGCTAACCATTAGCATTAGCAACTCCACCACACAGCAGAAGCTCCTCCAGGCTTGTGTTGTTTGTGGAAATAAAACATTCATGTTGCTGTTATCCAATGGGAGGCAAGACATCCAAATATCAGTAAATGAGATTTCAGTACCTTGTTAAATTCTCCTCTGATGTTGATGCAGGCATTTATGGGCTCTTTTTTTCTGCCTTGAATGGTTTTCAAGGCATTCATTCATGCGAGAGACCACTGCAAATGTATTGTTTAAATGGGTTTCCCACATCTTTAATGTGCATGAAGTCTCAGTCCTCAGTTTTTATTGGAAAAAGTTGTTTTTAGATTTGTGATTTTAACTGTTATTTATCTTAACAACAAACTTCAAAACAGACCTTGATAATAAAGCAGTGCATGTGTTTTCTTTTTCTTTTTTTTTGTCAAAGCACTGGAAACACTCAATTTTCAGAAACTGGACTTGGATGTCATCAAGTATCTGGATGAAATTCAGGTAAATCACAAAACCTTAAACTGATATGTGTTTTTTTTATTTTAGATAAACCCTTCAGCCAATCAAAAGCAGGAAAAATCTGGTGAAACATTCAAACATCAGCAACAAAGGTCTCATTTAATGAATTCAGTCGATAAACAGAATTATTTTAATTCAAGCTGCAACCACCTCCCGTGAAGGTCTAAGTCTGCTTTCTGAGCATTTCTGTTTTCTTTTAATTGTTTCTTAATTAGAATCCTAGAATCTTTCCAGTTAAATGCTTATGTATAAATAAACACAGTGTTTTAAGTTTTCCTGTAACTTTGTTTTGCTTCACATGACTTTACACCCCCTGTAACTCTGATCTGTTTGCCTTAGCCTCAGAAACCCAAGATGGTGATGGAGTACTGGTCTGGCTGGTTTGATCTCTGGGGTGGCCTTCATCACGTTTACACTTCTGAGGGTAAGAAAGATGTTAGTTTTGTAAAAATAATTAGCAACCAAGGCTAGGTGTCTATGGAGAGAAAGATACAGAGCAGCAAAACACGGGCTCTCCCCAGAGAGAGGGAGAGGCTAAAAGGTGAAACGTTTTCTCTCTGCAGAGAGTCGATAACACTGGCTAATTTGAGACAGGGCCGAGACAGGTTTCTGTGCTGAAAGCCTGTGCAGAATCTCTTTAGGTAAAACAGACGTGTCTGGAGGGTAAGACAAAGCCTTGGTGCTTTGAGAGAAGAGAGGCTTTAGACAGACCTTTTGAGCTGTGAATAAAACTATCTTTGTGTCAAGGAAAGTTTGTAGAAGGACAAACTCAAAGCCAGTGTGATGTAGTCAGATCCATTCTCAAGCTGGTGTTAAAAACTAAAGTCTACACGTCAAAGTTCAGCGCATAAAAAGTGCAACATGTTCTTATCAGCAGCGTATTCCACAGTTACGCCACCGAGCAAGGGCTTCTGGGTAGGGTCATACAAACAAACCGCATTTGCCAATAGAAAAAAAGTACTTTCAGAGCGCTTGGACATCGATGTGAGGGCATGAAATGGAGGAAGTTGTGTTGGCAAGCCAGGGGCTTTTCTTGATGTTGGTCCTGCTAGTTACCGATTACCAGGACTGAAGCGCTGGCGCGACTGTCACGGTCAAAGTAAAAATTAACTCCTGCTGTAGCGCTGTTGTTCTCATCACTGCCCCCTCTTGAGTTATATAAAAATAAGTTTGCTACTCATAGTGCTCAAGTAACATTTTTTAAGACAATTTTTTTAACTGTCAGATTATAATTTGTGTCCCTAGTTTTTACATACCACCCACCTCTGGTCGAAAGTTTTCTTCGTGCACGTTTGAGTGGCCGAGACATCCAGCTGGACCCCTCCACCAATACCGCTGCTCCTCCTGGATAACTCCCCATCTGAGAGCATCATTAGGACCGGCTGGTCATTCTCGGAGGATCTTTCCCCCCTGGGAAAATGTATGTGCTCCTCTTGATCTGCTTCACACAGTTAAAATCCGTTCTTCCACGTGAAAATTATCACTGCTTCGCATTTTCTATCTTAGCCCGTTTCCCTTTCCAGCTGTTTTATTTGGTCGCAGATGTTACCCAGCTTTGGAAAAGGGATAAAAATTCCCCTCTGATGTCCGACCTGGGTATCTAGAGTCAGATTAACACGTCTCTCAGCAGCTTCTGACCAAGTCCTCCAAACACACCCACATCACCCCGCTTCTCCTCCAGCTTCACTGGCTGCCAGTCAACTTCAGGGTTCATTTCAAGATCCTGGTTCTGGTCTATAGGACCTTACATGGACAAGCACCATCTTACATTGGTGATCTCCTCAGTCCCTACACCCCCAGCAGGTCCCTGAGGTCCAGTGATCAAAGCCTACTGGTTGTGCAGCACCAGGCTAAAGACCAAAGGTGACACATCATTTGCTGCTGTGGCCCCCAGACTCTGGAACTCTCTCCCCCTGAGCCTGAGATCAGTGGACTCAGTGGTCTCCTTTAAAAAGCAGCTGAAGACTCACTTGTTCAAGCTGGCTTTTGTATGACCTTCTTCACCTCTCTCTTTATTCTGCTCTCCCCACCTATTCCACCTTCCTCAGGATCCACTGATTTCCCTCTTTCCTGTTCACTCTCTCTCTTTCTTAACATTTTTTTAATCACAATTGCCTATTTTTGCTCATTTTAAATATATTTTAACCATTTTCTAAATTCTTTTTTATATTTTTGCATTGTTTGTTTTTGTGAAGCACCTCGTGATTTCCTTCTCCTTCTCCTCCTCCTCCTTCTTCTCTTCTTCTTCTTCTTCAGCTCCATTTTGTTTAAACATCTTTAGGAGAAGAATAAAGAACTTTAGCCAGATCGGAGCAACTCAGACCCATAGGAAGCTATACTGAAGGCCCACTTGCTTGTATGACCCTACATGCTTTGCGATGTTACGTCTACAATCTATTTTTAGCTACTGTAGAAAATGCTATTCAACTTTTTTACTTGAGCTTTAAAATGGCTAAAATAGCATTTTAAATCATAGATAATCATATAAAAACTGAGTTAAAAAGTCTGTAGATGGGCTACACGAGCATTTAGTGGCATTTTGCCATCTTCAATGCAACTCTGTGGTGGAGCATAAAGGTTCAAAAGCCTCCATGCTGCATTCTCTGCTGTCACCAGATTCTGGGCGTAAAAAAAAATCACTAAACACAAGGAGATAAAAAATGTATACACACACGGAAGAGTCCTGCCTTTTAATTCTAAAACGGCTCTGCGTCACATAGACTAGTGCTCTCTAACACTGTTCCTCCAGCGCCCCTTTCCTACATGTTTTAGTTGTTTCCCTCCAACACACTGATTCAATTATTTAATCAACTGTTCAGCAGGTCATTAATCATTACTGATTAAATCAGGTGTGCTGGTGCAGAGAAACCTCTAAAACACATCAAATCCAAGTCAAACTAACCAAAATACCAGGTCTATCCAAAATGAACATACAGCTACTGTCTTTGTACAGTTCTTATAGCTCTCATGTGTTAGGATAGGAAACAGGTAAAAACAGAAGGATCCAACACCAGCTGCAATTCCATATCAGCTGTACAGAAATTCAGGAAGTTTATGGCCCATCATTGTGTAACTTTTTCTGGAAGTAACTAAATCGAAAAAAAAAATAAATAAAGGAGGGCAATATTTTTTTATTGTTTGGTCTGCTTCCAGTCTTAAAGGTGATGCATTGTTTGAGACGTTTCATATAAAAGACTGAAATAAACCAGAAAACTTTGTTACGCTGCTGTGTAATAACCTTCCAGTGAGTAAAGCCATCCACCTTTATCTGTGGTCAGCTGTGATGTCCCAGCTCTAGCCCTCAAATTTAACTCTTCTGCTCTATAATGTAAAATGTTTGGTGGTTTTTCTAGGATGGGAATTTAAAAATAGAAAAAGCTGTTTGGGTATTTTGCCTTCATTTTTATCTGCTTTGTAAATAATGGAATTAAGCAGCGTTAACTTTGTTGACGAATGAATTGTTTGGGGCGAAAACAAAACTCAAATTAGAAATGATCACTTCTATCAAAACTAAGTTATGACAAATATAGATAAACATTTTCATCGAATAAAAGACAAGAAAATTGACAGTAATAAAAATCCTATCAGAAAACAAGAACAAAAGAGCCAATCAGCAAACGGACCAAGTGGGACTAGACTAGAAGAGAGCCAACCAGAGTCCAGAGCCGGCCACTGTTTGAACAAGCTACCGATAACAGTTGAACAATTTTTAATAATCCACAACTGGGAGGAAATGCATCAAAGGTGACAATCTGCGTGGAGCGACGCATCTGGTTGATTTGTTTTTTTCGTGGCGCTGCTACGGCCGATTTGATCAGCATTCGGTGTTCTAGAGATGTTTTTGTGAAGAAAAGATTCAGGTGGCCCAGAAAAATGTTCAGGCAGCCCACCTTGGTCAAACAGTGAAAGAAAAACTCTAATAAATACACCTGAAAACAATTCTTACTTTCAGTGTACCTCCTTGTGTTATTAGAATACCACCTTTAATGTTATCATGTCATTTCCTGTCAAGTTTACACATATTACTGCACTTATACATATTTGTTTACTTGATTAATACTGAGAGGCACAGTTTCAAACTGTCAGTGTTCATTTAGGTATTTTCCATTAATTATTGTTATAGAAACAATCATAAATGTAGAGTCTTATTGATCCAAAGTGCAAAATGAGGATTTTTCATATTACTTTACAGTTTCAAGTAGCTTTTAACATTTCCTTTATAGAAGTTAAAATTACACCTGTATAGGTGTAGGTAGAGTGACAGTGGGAATCTGGAGTCGGTCCACAACTGCCTGATCCAAAAGGTTCTGCTCACTTCCAGAATCCACTAATGCTCGAAAAGGAAGGCTGTGCTGAGAGAAGGAGATGATACAGGAAAGTAAACACCGGGATAAACCATATGCACTTGCACCCACCCATAATCCTGGTTCTACTGATGGGTTCTCCCTTTTGGCTGGTCAGGACATTGAGAGACGAAGTGACCAGGCTGGCCACAATAAAAGCAGAGTTTGGAGGCCATGCGTCTGTTTCTTTCCTCCAGGCTGAGTCGGGTCCTGCCAATCTGCAGAGGTTCGTCAGGGTCCATGGGAGGGAACCGTGCGGGGGGCGCTCGAGATGAGGAAGGTGGTGGAGACTGAGGATTAATGTGAGAACTCCTGAATCTATCTCTCAGGCGTTGATCGATGCGAGTGGCCCGAGCTATTAGTTCCTCAAGGTTACGGGATTCAGGTCAGAGGGCCAACTGATCTTTGATTCTATCATTCAGAGCTTCCTGAAAGGCTCCCATTAAAGAGTCTTCATTCCAAGTAGAGGCAGCAGCAACGGTTCTAAAACGTAACGCAAACTCAGGAACAGATTGACGTCCCTGAGAAAGGCGCCAGAGTTGTCTGGAAACATCTGAACGCTGCTCAACAGCCCCAAAAGTTAATTTAAAATCCTTAATAAACCCTTTAAGAGGCCCTTGTAAAAAAAACTTGGGTTCCGACTTTTTGCCTCCGCCCACTGTAAGGCTCGGCCCCTAAGTAACCCAATAATAAAATACATTTTTGCAGGATCTGAAGAAAAAGAGGTGGGTGTATGTTCAAAAGCCAAATTACATTGTAGGAGGAAACCCAAACACTGACTTGGATCTCCCTCGTACTTCATCGAGGGCAGGGATTCGGCTACCTGGAATAGTGCAGGAGCAGGAAGTGGTCACGAAGCGGGGACCGGAGAAACGGGATTCGGAACCGGAGGTGGTGGAGCGGAACGCTGCTCATGGAGACGGCAAACTGCAGTATCTAAATTGTGCAGACGCTGATTAGTAAGGGACAACTGTTCGAGTAAAGTACGGAGCGTGGAGTCATGTTCGCGGAGAGTTTCGGCGATACGGGACGGCACGGATTCTGCGAGGTTAGCTGATTGGTCGGATGATTCTGTCATGTCGGAGTTTTAACTTTCTAACCCACATGCAGAATCAGAGCCGGAGACGAAGGTAAGAGAAAAAAAGAATATTTATTAAATGATGATAAGAGTCACTCTCGAGGAAGCTCTGATGTTAAGGGCAGAATCTGACGGGAGAAAAAGATCAGGAAGATGAGGAGATGGCAGTTGGGAGAGGAAATGGTGCAAACGGAACAGTCTTACTTTAGAGTGGTGATCTGTAGATGCTGAGAAGAGAGTAGGTCAGGCCTGAGGTGGAGGGGAGCTGAAGGAGGGTCCAGGCTTTTGAGACGAGGGATGAAGGTGATGATGAGTCCCAAAACGTTGAGCGAGGCAGGCGGGGGGAGAGAGCGAGTGAGCGAGCCGGCTGGCAGAGCAGACGAGATGAAGTGGATTATAAGATCCGTAGGTTATGGCTGGAGAGGCGATGAGGGTAAAATCTGCTGAGGAAAAATTAGCGATCACTAGAGAGACAAAGAATACGCACAAAGAGCTCGACATTTGGTTGTGTACCCAAACGAGTTAATCATCCGACGCCGTGTAGGTCTCAGACTGCTCCTTATATACCCGGCCGGTGATTGCAGCTGAATGGCTGCAGCCGGGCAGCTCTCCGGCACCGCCCATCTGCAGGAGAGAGGTTAGTGTGGGGAATAATATACCTCAGGCCACGACACATGGAGTCTTCACTTATTCAGAGTAAAGAATGTTGACGTCTGGCATTCACAGAGTGAGTGCAAGAACCTTGGGTGAGAATGTTTGTTTGAATGTTGTGTTTTCATGGAATGTAAACAAGCACTGCAGAACCTTCTGGGTTTGGAAGGCCAAGTAGAAAGTGGATTTATTTCTGTAGATGAAAGGTCACCATGTTGGTCAATGTAGATGGTGAAAATTGACCCTTTTAGACGTTACAACGTCCCCTGTAAACTAATAATTTATACATGACAATATATGAATAATGAGATGTGATGTGGTGGGTGTGAGGCGTTGTGATGGAAGCTAGATGTTGTAGCAACCGTTCTTTGTATCTGAGAGAAATAGTGATGTCTAGGAGTAAAAGAATTTATATAATGAAAATAATATTTCAAAATAAAGCTATAATAAAGCAACTTTTATTGTTGTTTTCTCCCTCCTCTCTTTCTGTGACAGACATGATACCAGTGGTCACCGAGATTCTGAAGCTGGACTTGTCCATCAATCTCTACATGTTTCATGGAGGGACCAATTTTGGCTTCATGAATGGTGCACTAGCTGTTGGAATACCAGCGCCTAAACCTGTGATAACAAGCTACGGTATGTCAACCTGACTTCAATTGCTTCCATACTTTTGCACAGAGGTCTTCTTTTTTTGTATTGACTTTTAAACAAACCCTCTTATTTAGAGGAAACAGGCAAATGGGCTGACAGGCTAAGTTTCTACAAGGTTTTTCCACAACTAAAATTTTGCTCTTGTATCCTTATATCCTGTCTTATTTATCGTTCGGTAAACAGACACCACATGTTTTTATCGCAAACAAGCTCTACAGCTAACCATTCATCACTTTTACTGAGACAGTGCCACTTACGGGTAAAAATCTCAGCGTAACAAACTTTTTTCTACTTTACAACAAAGGGGCTAAGCTGAACCAAGCCGCTGCAACACAGTTCAGATTTAATGAGTGTAGTAGTGTGAAAGAATGTATAAGGCTGGACATATGGAAAATGTTAGTAATTGTGCATTCTATCAAGTAATCCATCAATTTATCAAGTACTGTGCTGTGCAACAGTTTCAGGCAGATGTGAAAAATGCTGCAAACAAAGAATGCTTTCAGATATATAAATAATGATTCTTTATTTATGTGCAAAGTGAGTGACCCCAAACACACAGCTAAAGTAATTTAGACCTATCTTCAAAGTAAAGAACAAGAAGTTCTGGAAGTGATGTTATGGGCCCCACAGAGCCCTAAGCTTAACATCATGAGGCGTGCTTCCATTGTTGGAGCTTCAGGGTAAATTCTGGGAAGGAGAAATTGACTGGAAGATCTGATGGCACAGTCTTCTCAGCTGTTGTGTCTCCACTTCATACAAATTCAGTTCTTTTTAGGACTTTACACAGGCATCAGCATTTTGCAACGGCTTTGGCAGTGAGTGATGTCACTGATCAGTGCAAAACAGCGTCCACAGTAACATTAATAACATTAAAAGTTTTATTCTGTTGAGGTTTATCATGATTTAATCCGTCCAGAGGATTGGGAAAGCAGCTGCATGATGCAAAATTTAGTGTTTAATGACCAGAAATATAAAGCATAGAAAATGTTTATTGTTTAGATTTAAATTTGCTGTTGAACGTAAGTATTTGAACACCCTCCAATTTTGCAAGTTCTTTTAGAAATTATGGGGAGGGGGTCTGAAACTCACATTGTTGCATTCCCACTCTGAGAGACATTATTTTAAAAGATTTCATGAAATCACGTTGTGTGAATTTTAAAGAATTTATTTGTAGACTCCAACTACTACTATGGGCAGGGCCAAAGCGCTGACAAAAGAAACAAGAGACAAAATTGTGGACCTCCACATGACTTGGTGAAAACAGATCAATGTTGGGGCAATTGTTAGAAAATGGAAGAGGCTAAAGATGACTGTCAGTCCTCCTTGAACGAAGGCTCCATGCAAGATCTTACCCGATAGGGTAACACTTATGTTAAGAAAGGTAAAGAATCAGCCCAGAACAACATGGGTGGAGCTGGTCAATGTCATGAAGGGAGCTGGAACCAGTTTCAAAGGTCACTATTGGTAGAACACCATGCCATCATGGTTTAAAACCATCCATTGCTCAGAAGGTCTGCCTTCTCAAGTAACCACACGTCCAGGTCCCTCTGAAGTTTGCCAGTGACCATCTGGATGATCCAGAGGAGGCATGGGAGAAAGTCATGTGGTCCAATGAGACCAGAATAGAACTATTTGGTCTAAACTCCACCTGCTGTGTCTGGAGGAAAAAGAAAGATGAGTTGCATCCCTGTGAAGCATGGGGGTGGAAACATCATGCTTTGGGGGTGCTTTTCTCATAAGGAGCCAGGACGACTGCACTGTATTAAGGAGAGCATTGATTGAAAATGGGTCGTGGCTGGGTCTTCCAACATGGTAATGACCCGAAGCACACCACCAGGTTAACCAAGGAGTGGCTCTGTAAGCATATCAAGGTTCTGGAGTGGCCTAGCCAGTCTCCAGACCTAAATCCAATAGAGAATCCTCTAAACCTGACAGATAGAGGAGATCTGCGTGGAGGAGTGGGCCAAAATCCCTGTTGCAGTGTGTGCTAACCTGGTTAAGAAATACAGTTCTAAACGTTGGACCTCTAAAATTAAAAACAAAGGTCTCCGTACCAATTATTAACACCAATTTCCTCAGGTGTTATAATACTTATGCTCCTCACTGGCTGCATGGTTGCATTTTTAATTCTCCTTTTGAAAAGTGTTAGAAAACACACCTCTGACCTTCAGCTTTCGTTTCTTAGTGTTAACCTCATTTTGAATGCTGTTTAGTATATATATATATTTTTTTTAAAAGGCTCAGTTTTCTGTCAAGATAACCCAGAATGTGTTACGGTCCGTTGCTGCCTCAAGATTTTTGATAGTGAAGCACAGAGAAAGCATCTGCCGTGGTAAGAGGGAGAGCCCTGCCTCTCCCCGGTGCCACGCTTGCTGTTCTGATAGCGTATTATCTTTCAGATTACGATGCTCCATTATCCGAGGCTGGGGATTACACCACCAAGTATCATCTTCTGAGGAATTTATTCAGCCGCTACCACAGTGAGTGTTGTATGTTGCTGCCGTGATGGGTCTTGCATCTTCTGTCTTTCTTTGTCCTTCTCTTTCATCTCCTCACAGGTTAATTCTCCTGGTAGAACCTGTTCCCTCTTCGCTCAAGCAGGATAACTTTGCATATACAAGAGAACGTTTGTGCATGTGTCTGAGCTTTCTGCCGCCTCAGTAATCAAAACCACACAAATTATGGCCCTTTGTAAAAGGGAACATACGAGTGTTGGATTCTGTTTATTGTTTATGCTGCTTCCCCTGTTTGTCAAACATGAGTTTTGTGGGCAAGGGCAGAAATCTCAAGTGTTTTTGAGGCCTAAAAAGGCTTTCTGACAACGTGGGAATGAATCCAGCATGACAGAGTAATAATTTTAGCCCAGCACTGAGGTGATTGAACATAAAGGCTGCCTGAGCGTGATTCATCCTTATGTTTTTGTAGTCTGCTGAACAATGAGCAGTGGCCTGAATTTGAGAGTAAGTCTGAAAAATCATCAGCAACCACAAAACATGACCCAGTTCTTTCATTAGATCCAGTTTTTGTTTTGTTATCGTTCCGCTGTCATATCATTTACATAATGTCAGTAATGTTTATGTTTAATGTGGGGTTTGGAGTTTGGTTTGACTTACATTAAAATATGGTTCTTAAAAATTACATTTTGCATATAAACCTGCCCCATCCTCCCCCCCCCCCCCCCCCCCCCTCCGTCCACTCCTTTGTTCCCTCCTCTCCACGATTGATGTCAAGTTGTTGTTAATCTTGTTGTTAGCCTCAAGGGCAACATGCCGATTATCACTTGTAAGTCACTTTGGACAAAAGTGTCTGCTAAATACATAAACATAAACATTCTAATTTTGTCATTTCACTATTAAATTATACGCCCATCTCCTACTTTATTAATTACACCTACAATGGTTTGTTTACACAAATAACTGCAGATGTAGTGAAGATGACTTACAAAAGTTCACATTTTTAGAATGATAAAGGATGGAGATTCAGGATTTGGTGGCAACATGGACCCATCCTTCCTTCTACACAGCTAAATCATCAGTGTAAATTTAACTTGGGCAGCTAATTTGAACACTGTTGCAGTGTTTCTGTAATCTTCACCAGTCCAGTGTTTATAGTGTATTTTCTGACTCTCATAGTGTTATTATCTAACACTTTAAAGTTTTAGAAACTATGCACCACTTTTTAATTTTGACAGCGGAACGGCACAGCGGTCCCATTCCTCTGACCGACTTCCTCACTTACGGTGTCGGTACCAGATGTGCTCGGGCTGCCACATCGGCTCAGGGCCCTGCACCTGCATGAAGACAGTGGGAGGGTTAAATTGGACCAACACCTGAAAATGAAGACAGTGCTTCAGGCTGCTGCTGGTGGTCTATGGGGGTAGAATTTTTCTTGTCTCACTTTGGATCCGTAGTGCCACCTGAGCCTGAATTAAACACCACAGTCTACTTTCTAATCTATTGTTGCTGACCATGTCCATCCCTTTATGACCACATGGACCCATCTTCTGATGGCTATGTTCAGCAGGATGATGCACCGTATCACAAAGCTCAGATGTAAATGGTTACATGACCACAAGTTCATTGGACTCCAGTGACCTCCACAGTAACAAGATCTCAAACCAGTCCAGAAACTTCGGGGTGTGGTGGAACAGGAGATTCACATTTTGGATGTAACTATGTGATGCTGTAATGGACCAGAACCTCTGAGAAACCATTCCAATGCCTTGCTGAATCTATGACATGAAGATCTAAGGTAGTTCTGAAGGCAATAGGAGGTCCAGCCTGGTGTAAGCAAGGTGTAGTGGCCAGGAAGTGTATAACAGTTTTTTTGTAGATCGTTTGTACACTGATGGATGATTACTCCCTCTTGATGTCATTAATTCAGTTTCAGTTATTCTGGTAGCAATCATATGTGGTGAAATATTAGCATGTGTTCCTCACAGAGACAAATCACAGCTGGGTGACAGAGTAGTGTCAGGACTATCTTGCTGTGACTTCTGATGGCTCTGCCTTGTATTTGTTGGAGTGTTGGACCCAGAAAGACTTGTTAGGAATACGTGTTGGCCATTATACTCCAACCTGCCTTTGTGTAAGCCAGCTTTTACCGCTCAGCAATAAGGAACTGATGTCAAGTCGTTTTCTAGAAGGACTGCCAGTGTACTTGTAGGCTCCAACACTTTTAAAAGCAGCAGGCAGATCTGAGCAACTGCTGTTAATGGTTGTAAAGAGACCGAAAAGGTCTGTCCATTGGGTGGTCAGGCTTAGCTTGAATGCCTCAGAAAGAGCTAGAGAGAGAGATCTCTTCGTTTCCCTTCTAGAACTGCTACCTTTTCCAACTTGACCTTAGATGGGCATGCAGGCAGAACGTTTTTGAGTATTTAATTTTTCTGTTGCATTATTCTCACATTACTTTAAAATGTTGCTCAAGTTATTGCATTTGTACCAGTCACTTGAGAAATAAAGGGTAAATGCAAATAAAAGACGCACTTTCCGTACACTACCTTGTTTTCCAGCTCAGCCTCTTCCTGAACTGCCTGCTTTACGAGAGAAGAGAGCATATCTGCCGGTCATCATCCAGCAGCACCTGTCTCTGTGGAACAGTCTGCATCTAACTCAAAAGGTGAGGTTAACAGCCGTTCACAGGGACAACGTTTAAAGCCCAGATATGGGAAATTGTCAAGCGCTAAAAGTTTGACACAGAAAAGCTAAACATTGTTTTTTTACAGTACCGTATAAATGCACAACATGTAAGGAGATCAACTGAATACAACTTATAAAGAAAATATTTGTTTATTGCATTAGTTTATAGTCATTTAGCTTCTAAAGTAGAGTATCTGTTTGTACCTTCATTTCATCTTTTCTTCCACTGATTGAGAATTCTGCACTGATAAAAATTAGGGCTGAATGATTTTAGGAAAAGATAGAATTGTGATTTTTGTAGGAGAAATTGCGATTTAAGTTCAGTTCACGATTTTCTTCAAATCAAGGTTCAACGCATAATTCATAATATAGAATAATATGTATTTGATTTAAGATATAATAATAAATACTATACAATATGAAATGTACAATTAGGACATTTTAAAGCTAATAATAAATTTGTAATGAGCTTGTTGAAGCAACTTGTGATTTTTATCCAGGTGCTTTATATAAAACATATTCTTCTTATTCTACTCAATGGAAGGAGGAAAACTGAGGGTGAAAATAACTTTCAAGTGTAAATAACAAAATATTCATTGGTTGCAATATTTACCAATGCAGGCTGCCTGGACGTTTCAGTGCCATCTGAACTCACTCAAAGCTCGCGCTACCTCTGGCTCATTTTACATGCTTGTTTGAATAATCGTGCGCCATCAGAAAAATTCAAACCGTTTGTGCTTTCAAGTCCACTAAAGTGTGAGACTCTGTGCTCGAGCGGACGCTGAAGTTAAAATCTGTGTTGTTATGCTGAACTCGGTTCTGCTGCAAGAGATGTCTCTCTCTCCCTCACTCACCTACAGTGCTGAGAGACGGGACCTTCTGCGGACAAACGGCCACAGCCATCATTATCGGCTCTAGCAGCGCTATGTATTGAAATATAAAATGGGGGAAATAACCAAAATTTACAGCTCTGCCAGCTAATCAGTTGGGCTTGGCTCTAGTACACCAATATACCTCCTCCCCCTCGCCGCTCTGGCAACTTTTGCAGTAACACAAGGAAAAAACCCCAGATGTAGGGATGGGTACCGAATTCGGTACTTTTCAAGGTACCGACCGAATTCCATAGTACCGACCGAGCACCGATTCACTTCATTTCAAACGGTGCCTCGTTTCGGTACCCGTCCTTCATAACGAGAACTTGCCAAGACAAATACGCATGCGCGTTATGTCGCCGGTCCCTGCGAGCCAGTTGTAAACAGAGCAGCATGGTAGAAAGAACGCAGGCTAACACTTGGGTCCACTTCACTAAATGTGATGGGTAACTGGGTGATGATGAAACCAGCGACAACGATCTAAGTGAGACATCCTCATCTTAATCTGCTCCGGTAGGTAAATAAAATGTTTAAGATAACGTTACCTTGATATGTTAGCTTCCGTTTCGCTAATGGTGCGTTCGCTTTCTCCTTGGAACTCTGAACCTCCGACTAGAAGAACATGAATGCGCTCTAAAGTTTGGCTTCACTTTACTAAATGTGACGGGTGATTGGGTGAAAATGAAACCAGCGACAACGATTTAAGTGTGAGGCATCATCGTTTTAATCTGCTCCAGCAGCTAAATAAACTGTTAAAGATAACGTTAGCTTGATATGTTAGCTTCCATTGACACCGTTGTTATCAGCTAATGGTGCGTTCGCTTTCTCCTCAGAAATTCTAACTTCCCAGTAGGAAAAATAAAATGAAAAAAGATGGCAAAAGGAATGAAGATACACAGTAAATTCAGTTCACAGTAAAGATGTTTGCTTCAGTTTAATTATCAGCTTATAAAACTATGAGGACGATGTTAAAATACAAACAGTTGAATGTTATTTATCGTGATATTTATCAAATATGGTTATTTATTGAGAAAAATATATATTTAATTATAAAAGAGAATTAAAATAATAAACACTCAAAAGTATCGAAAACTGGTACCGTTAAGTACCGGTATCGACTCGTAGGTACCGGGAATTAGTACCGGATCGATTCAAATGTCAAAGGTACCCATCCCTACCCAGATGTCTAAAAAAGTTGACAAAACAGATCCTGGATCAGTCAGGAGCGCTACAAAAAAATGACGATCATGTGATCGCATTGCTTAAAATCGCCTAAAACGATAGATCGTTCAGCCCTAGTGAAAATAAACTAAATCTGGCTTAAATCCCATGTTTAAAATCATTTTACTCATTGATTAATAAAGTTTTGTGCTTTGACAAACCTTTGCCTGCAATGGATGGATATTTCCAGAGCCAACCGAGGAAAATGAGTGGCTTTCTTAGCCCTTACCACCACAGTGGCCTTCTCAGGAACAAAGTAATCAGCCCTGTGCAACTTTATGAGTATAAAGCAGCTTGTTGTTGAAATAAAATCTAAAGGCAACAGCAAGCGTTTCGTTGCAGTGAAGGAGAAGCTACAGCAGATGTTGAACTGTGTCACAGCATCATCTCTCGTTTTATGTCCAGTGGTCTAGTTCAGGCATTTACACAGTGTTCCTCTGAGTCATTTATATTCCAACCAGGTGTAGCATGTCTGGCATTCCTCTCTGCAGTAATTATTCATTTCCCATCCCGATAATTTGCTTCCCTCTGAGACACCTATTACTTTGCCCCTGACCAGGAAACACACCCTAGTTTAAAGCGAGTGGTTTCTCTTTGGTCATGAGTTTGATATTTTGCCTTTGTGTTTAATAATAATAATGCATTGAACTTATATAGCGCTTTTCAAGACACCCAAAGACGCTTTCACACACTCTCACATTCACACACTGCTAGTGATGGTAAGCTACTTGTAGCCACAGCCGCCCTGGGGAGGTCTGACAGAGGCGAGGCTGCCATTTGGTGCCGTCGGCCCCTCTGACCACCACTAGCACAGGCAAGTTGGGTGAAGTGTCTTGCCCAAGGACACAACAGCAGGATACCCCTGGCGGGAGCTGGAATCGAACCCATGACCCTCCGATCATGAGGCAACCCGCTCTACCACCTGAGCCACTGCTGCCCCTTCGTTTAGAGTGTTTGAACAGATAGTGTTCAGGTTGCCTTGTGGGAAGTCCACAAGTTTATGCAAATCCACGTTGTTTCATAAAGGACTTCTGACTGAAAAGCTTCTTTCATTAGGTTCGACAGCTCATCCCTTAGTTTAGATCAAATCATCTGGCTGGTAGAGAAATGACAACGCACCATCTGCATTAAGATTTTTCTTCAAAAATAAGTGGATCAAGCATTAGGTGGCAAGTTTAACACGTGAGTCAAAAGGAATTTCAGAAGCACATTGAGGAGGGAAGACTATTGCAGTGCCATACTTTGGAAAGCAGCCAAATGGGTCCAGTTTTATCCTACAGCAGCATAATGAGCCAAAACACACTTCCAAAATGAGTCAGCAATATGGAATGGCCAGCACAGTTGCTTGATTTGAACCCTCTTGAGGTGCTGTAGGAGCAGCTTGACTCAGTCAGTGTGTTAAATGTGCATCTATGTCGATCTAGGTGGATCTAAAGTAATAAACTGGGTGCCTTTATCCTAGTTTACATGTACTTTAGAAAACCAGTCTCTCAAAAGAAATATGTTGCACTTCGGTACAGTATGGTACTACAGTTCGGTCATCAGTCAGACGCAGCCAGCTACATTTAAGTTTCACTTTCTGTTCTGACTGAACGCTGCTGCAGCATGGAGGTGTAGTTCTCAGTCATCCTGGACATGATCATCCTGAGAGTTTTAGCTGAAAACAGCTGGACGTTTCTGGATATGTTGGAGACATTTAGCCTATCATCCCAGAGGCTTCTTCCAGACTTTGGTTGTGGTCAGAAACAAACACACTGGTTGTGCTGCAGGTCTTTTTCGTTTTCCTCCAAAACGTTTTTGTCTAAATGAAGGTGATGCTGTTGTTCATAGAGTTAAAATTCATGTTGAAGTTAAGATTATTTCATCAAGTAGGACCTGTGGTTAGCTGGCTCATGTAAAACATGTCATGTCTTGAAAGAATCGGAATCGGGAATCATTAGGAACCGGAATCGAAACAAGGAATTGGAATTGGAATTGATCAAAATCAAACGATGCCCAACCCTATTCTCATCAGGTTATCAAAAAAACCTTAGTAGAATGTCTAACGTCTGCTAGTCAGGAATTGCTGTAAAAGGTGTGTTTTTAAATAAAGCAAAGTTTAAAGAAAACACTCATCATTTCCTTTAAATCCTATTTAATAACTGGCAGCATCTGCATGTTAGACCCATTTTATGTGTGATTAAATGTAAAACAAGAAAATGATCCCAAATCTTTTGGCGGTAGGCTTGGCTGGTCTCCAGAGTGGACCTGTGTGTTTCTTAATGTTTGTCTGACACAAGTTGTCCATATGGAACATTTTTGTGTAGCCCTTGAAATCTGAGAAGCCACTGAACATGGAGAACCTCCCTGTGAACAATAACAACGGTCAGTCTTATGGCTACACACTGTATGAGACCACCATCACCGGCGGAGGATTGCTCAACTCAAAGAACAACATCAAAGACAGAGCACTGGTGAGAAGAGACGACATTGTCGCAGTCCTGTTTTAACTTGTGCTTGTTGGAATATTTGTGCAGACAGTTTCATCCTGCTCATTAGAAATCTCCTGAGGCCTTGGCACCATTAGACAGTTTTCAAATCTGACTTTGATCAATAAAACTAGTACTTTTGTTTCATCTTAGCCCAATTGCTGGACTCTGCTACCATTCATAAGCTTGGAACGAGTCTGATTCGTTTTTCACTGCACAGTTTTAAAAAACTAGAAACATAAATGGCTATTTTTACATAAATATTTTAGTTCCTTGAATGTTTTCAAAATTTCTCCCTTTTTTAGGTTTTCGTTGACAAACAATTCGTTGGTGTTTTGGACTATAACGTGCAGGAACTTGCAGTACCTGATGGGAAGGTACAGAAGCTTTTGGTTCTTCTGCGTTCTTTATATTTTAGACTCACTCTGCAGTTTCAAAGAGATAAAGTTATTAATATTTAACAACTTGCAGCATGTGAAAGCTTTAGGGGGATGATGATGGATGTTTTTGGCAGCAGCGTCCCAGCGTGAAGCCAACGGCAAATCTTCAAACAAGTGTTTATTTTGAAAAATTAGTATAGTCAGTTTTAGGAAACAGTGCAGGTAATGATTGGTGTGACTGATTACCTAAACTTGACCAGGTGAAAGAAATACACTTTTTTTGGTATTGTTTTAGCACTGAAGACTTTCTTAGCAGCTCATGTTTCATGCATTTTTGTCCTAAAGGGAAGGAGAACTCTGAGTTTTCTGGTGGAGAACTGTGGGAGGGTAAATTATGGGAAAACTCTGGATGAGCAACGCAAAGGTACAAATAGTTCAACAAACCTTTCACTGGTTGTTGAAGTCGTGTCAGATGATCTGTTTAGAGGTAACAGAAACTGAGCAGCTTTAACTCACCTTCCAGGTCTCGTTGGAGATATTGAGTTGAACGCACACGTCCTTCGAGGCTTCACTATTCATAGTCTAGAGATGAAGCCCAGCTTTGTAAACAGGTTTGTGTCTTTTAATTATGCTCGCCTTGTTTGTGTTCCTTTGTCGTTACATCTGCCTGCCTCTGATTTAATCTAGCAGATTATGTCCTTGCTTAATGCAATTATATTTGAACAAGGGTGTGAAATTTAGAAAACGAAACATGCTAATCCAGTTTCTCGTGTCACCTATTTTAAATGACAGGTTGTGAAATGGGTTCATTACACTTCTGGTCCACTTAAATCCTGTATTGTGATGTAAAAACAGTGACCAAACAAATTATTCTTTATAGCTAACTGTACATTATTTGCAGGTGACAAAAATAGGAACATCTGAGGAACAATGGTTAGTTTCTAAAAGGAAATTATAATGCAAACCTGTACTCTCTACCTAATCTTCATCTGCCTATGGGTCCGAGTCGCAGAAGTAGCAGCCCTAGCAGGAAAACCCACACCATCCTCTCTCCAACCACCTCTACCAGTACCTCCGGTGGGACTGCAAGGTGTTCTCAGGCCAAACCTGTTGGCAGGACATGCACAAAACACTTTGCTGAAAGGTGTCCAGCAGGCATCCTACCAAATGCCTGAACCACCTCAGCTTGTATGTGGCAGCAGTTCTAAGTCCAAGCTCCTCACCATTTCTGAGGCTGAGTCTGACCACCCTGTGGAGGAAACTAATGGCCCTTCCACACTAGGGCCATCTCCACTCCTCGCAGTCAGCCCCAGCCCGCCCAAGCCTGGCCGGGCTGATTACACACATCCTTAGGAATGCGGATGTGACTAAGCATACGGACAGCCTCCAAAATTAGCACAAAAAATTGGCAGGGAGATGTCAGTGATATTATGAGTGCATCTCTGAGCATGTGGGCTGGGCAAAATACACCTGGGGAAGTCCGTGGTGCCTCCTTTAAATTAAACATGGCTGCTTGGAGCAGTGTTGCTTTCAGAGACTCTGATATTGCATCCTGCTCTGCTGTGTCTGTCTTGGTGCAGCTCAAGCCTGGCAACGCTGTCTGTGTGTGTGTTCCTCAGAGAGAGACAGAAAAAAGAGACAGCTTCAGTCAGAAGCATTATTTATTCCCCAGTATGCAGCATGATAATGAATCGCACATGCAGGAAGCTCCTGCTAGCTGATTCTATCCATAGATATGTATATATAAACACTAGATGTCTCGTCCCCGCTGTTCGCCAATGGGATGCTACGTAAGCACGTGGCGGCCATCTTACCTCAGAGACTCCCACTGAGGTAAATAGTCAACTTTGTTTTGCTAAGCAGTGCACCCACCGTAGCCTCGTCATCTATAAGCCAAATTAGACAGCTAATAAATACAGAAACATCCACAAACACAGCCATTAATCAATTTCCCTCTGGGATTAATAAAGTATTTTTGAATTGAGTTGAATTTACACAACAGTTGGGCTGTCGTAAAGTCGTTATTGGTTTTGTAGAACCACATAAAATATCGATTGTGGTCTCAACCTGAATAACATGCACATAACCTAGGCTGGACACATGGTTCACAATTAAGCCACTTTCAAAAGCAAAAGTGTTACTTTCAACATGTGCAAGTATATTGTCTCAAGCCCATGTGTTCTAAGGTTTGTAACAAGGCAAACCGCTTGTAAATCTGTTAATATTTCATCGAGTTAAGAGTGTTTTTGTTTAAGCTGATCACTCACCTTCCAGCTGCTACCATTGAGAGCGGAGTGGTCTGTTGTCTGAGGTAAGATGGCCGCCGTTTAGCTACGCCCTCGACTTCTGCTTTCGTCATCTAGTGTTTATATCAGGCCCCCACAATGCGGCTCAAAAATTGAAGCAATCCCGGAAGTACCAAAAATTGCAGTTCCACCCTCATCCACTGGGGGCTGGTGTCAGAAGCGAGCAAATCCTCATTGACTCCCATGTTAAAAATACCAATTTCACAGCAGAAATAAACATGTTTACAGCCTGGTACCAAAACATGTTTTTGGTTTAAATGATCTAGTTTACACTCATGACAACTCTGAGGGGGATGAATTTTTTTTCTCACTCTTCTGTTTAAGTGTATTAAAAGCCTAAAATTCTGTATAATTAATGAGCATCCGACCCACGTGACCACAGCGCTAGCTCTGTGGAAAGGCCTCAGTAGAGCCTCGGTCTGGCTTGGAAACTGCTCCGGGATTTTGTGTTTGTGTATTCTGTTTTGGATATTATTTGTGCAATTGTTGGACGAAATGACTCGCTGTGGCATTAATTGCACTAATAGAGCGTCCAAGGAGTCTCCATTTCATTTTTTTCGGTAAATAAAATTATATTTATGTACTTCAGGTCACTGCCGAGCTGAGCTTAGATTTTAACATGTACTGTTTAACCATGAAATTTAAATGTAATAGGGTAAAACCCAGTGCATTTAACATAATGCTGCACTTTAGAAAATGGGTTGAAATATAACATGTTGGTGGAGCTGGGTTCCGACTATCGGCTTGTGGAGCGCTCGGGAGACCGATGTTTTCCACGCTTATCCCCTCCCCGCAGCTCGGCGCATCTCTGTCTGATCGCGGCTTCTGTCTGCTGCGCGGGCTGTCGGCTTGTGGAGCTCTGGGATGGAAATCTTTCCACCCGGTTCTCCCCAGCGGCAGCTCTGCGCATCTCAGATCGCAGTGGCGCTTGTCTGCTGTGCGGCTGCCGGCTTGTGGAGCTCTCGGGAGACCTCTGTGTTCCACCCGGTTTTACCCAGCGGTCAGCCCGGTGTATCTCTGACTCAGAAGCTCTAGTGTTGTGCACAGTTAACTCTGGTTGTAGCTAGGTTGCTACCTCCATTAGCTTAGCTCCCACCTCCGCGTTAGCTTCAGGTTAGCTTGTAGCTAGTTCGACCGGGTGTCGTCAGTTTATCTCAGCCTTACAGCCCCACCCTCAGCTCCACCTCTCTTCCCTTTTGTGGAATTGTCTGGGCTTGACGGAACCTGTTACACGGTCAAAATGGCGGTGGTGGCCACCTCCCATTTCTCCTCAAAAACGTGTTATTGGATCCTTTGGAAACCCATTGTCCAATATTTATATGTCGATGGTTTATATACATATCTATGATTCTATCCACCAATCAGAGGCTCCCTCTAATGGTAGGCATGATTTTGAGTCAGCAGTGGGTGTGTTGGACCACTTCAGCCCAAGACAAGTTTCCTAGGGAAGAGTGCTGAATAAACGACAGGTTGCGCGTGGAAAAAATCTAAGCTAAGTGGATGTGAACACTACTATGTGAGATTTGACAAAACAGAAATCTACAATGAGCCCAGTCACTAACTATTTGAATTTTGTTCCATGTTTAGGGTGAAGAGCATTTAAGAGTAAGGACTACATCTGAAAGAATTATTTAATTTTTTAATAATTTCTTAATAGCAATCAACACCAATGTGAAATTCATTCTTGCTTCACTTGAAAAAAGTTTTGTTTTATGGATTTTGATTGTGGTTGATTCTCCTGATGCTAACAGATATTTTGCACACATACGTATACGAGTGTCAGTGTCAGAAAACTGGCCTGACTTACTGAGATCACCAGCTTTATTGTACTGCTAAACATGGTGGTCTGTGTTGTTGCAATTAGCTAAAAATTCATGCTTTCTAAAGATGTCATCAAACCTTTTTGAATGTTTAGAGCTCTTCTCAACTGTTTATTTTGGGTGCCATTGTAAGACAGTACTGTTGCAGTACGAAACATTTTTCTACACTTTGCACCCAAAGCTAGGCAGTTTATAATCAATCAGAGTTCTGGCATGGCAGATTTAAATTAAGCCTCGTTATATTTGTTTAACGATGCTTACCTGCTTTTAGTTGCGTTTAATTAGGACTAGCTGGAAATTTACTGTAAATGTGCAGAAAGAAAGCATGATGATAGTAACTGCAGACAGTAGTTACTAAATACATTTATTTACTAAGTAAATAAATCAGCACCATGAACATTTAGAATTCCATTTCACACAGAATTGGAGGTACGACGCAGGTTTTAGGAGAAGACTTCTGTTTCCTCATGCCAGAACAGAGATTCAAAATTTCTGTTGTGGTATAACTTAAGAAAACAGGTTCTGATGAGTGAGCTGATAGGGCTGTGAGGAGAGGATGGAGGCTTGAAAGCTGGGAGCTGGCCTGGAAGTTGCGCGGTTGTGTCTGGGATATACAGACCAACTGGCCTTGGTCGAGTTGCCTGACTGAGGGTGTATGGCTCAGTTTAACGTAATGGATAATGTGCTCTTAAATTTGAACCGTGATGTTTCTGAAACTAGGGCTGGGCAATAAATCGAAAATGTATTGTTATCGAAATGTCTGACTCTTATCGTGATAATTTTTCCCCTGTCAATAAATTTGATAATAAAAAAAATGAAAAGATGTGTGATGGTTGGCAACAATCATGCCCCTTTAAGAAGCTGCTCCACCTTGAGTCAGTAAAAATGTGACTCAACGTAATACACGTGACAGCCCCATCTAGCGGGCAACTGTTGTTTCTGTGCATACCTGTAGTTATCATCCATTTATCCTTATCGAGGTGAAATCCTCAGTATATCGTGATATTAACTTTAGGCCATATCGCCCAGCTCTATCTGAAAGTGGATGTTCTGTGGTTTTAGTGTAATACATGTATTTTAATGTTTCACACCTGACATTTTCTTAAGACAGTGAGAAGCAGGTTTTATTTTAATGTCAGTTGCTTGAATGCATCATGTAGCCTTTACTGCATAAACAAATAGTTCTTACAGCATGACAACCTTTTCAGTTTAGTTGGAGGTAAGCCCTGCTATGTTGGTGAATATGAACATTTCCCCCACCATCCGTGTCCAGACATTAACTTGACATTTACTGGAACCCAATAATATTGCATGAGTGACATTATATATATTCTTTTTGTTATTCTTTTAAAGACTTGAGACTTCAGGACACTGGGCATCTGTTCCCCAGCGGCCCTCCTTTCCAGCCTTTTTTCTGGCCAGACTTTATGTGAACAGCTCTCCTAAAGACACCTTCATCAAACTCCCTGTAAGTAAGAGCTTAGAGTCCATTACACAACCACCCAGACACTGTCAGGAAGTCAAACACCTCTTTGTCTCCACCGAATATGTAACAATCCATCTAAATCGATGTTACTCATACTGAGACTTTTTCAACTGAAAAATAAATCAAGGATTAAGTAAAGAACTGTATATGCGACATACAACGACAGTCAAATGTTTGATTATTGTACATTTATTATTCATACATTCTAAAGAGAGAGAGAGAGAGAGAGAGAGAGAGAGAGAGGAGAGAGAGAGAGAGAGAGAGAGAGAGAGAGAGAGAGAGAGAGGAGAGAGAGAGAGAGAGAGAGAGAGAGAGGAGAGAGAGAGAGAGAGAGAGAGAGAGAGAGAGAGAGAGAGAGAGAGAGAGAGAGAGAGAGAGAGAGGAGAGAGAGAGAGAGAGAAATTATGTATTTCTTTGCAGTGGTCACTGTAAAGTAAAAGAATAATGATTAAATTAATCTTCGGTAACACTTTAGTTTAGGGAACACAAATTAACCATTAATTAGCTGCCAATTTATATGCATAGACTACTAAGTCTGAATTGGTCATTATTAAGCTATTATTAGATGCTTATTACCAATGTTGTAATTCTCATATTAGCAGGCCATAAATTAAGAGTTTTTTTGAAATAAGCCACTCATAATTGTTTGTTGCCGATTTAATATCATCAATATGTGGCTTTTAACGAAGTAATTAAAGGGGAATAGTTATTCTGCATTAAAAACCAAAAATATTATGTTCTGGTAATATGCAAATAAACACCAAACTCCACATGTTGATAGAGCCTAAACAACAATCTAACCACTTATAAGGAAGAATCTGTTCCCCATTCTAAAGTCAGATTTGTTTTCATACTTAATTACTAATAGTTTAGTGATAATTAACCACTTAAAGGCAAGAATATGTTCCCCTTGAATTACTTCTTCTAAAGCCACATATTGATTTGAGCTACTTAGTATGCGTTAATCAGCAACAAAACCGTTTACTTTCAGTTAACAAACCGTTATGAATGGCTTATTTAGATGAAACTCTTAATTTATGGCCCGTTAATGTTAGAATGACGGCATTAGTAATAAGCTGTTAATAAGTGCTTAATAATGACTAGTTCAGACTTAGTTGTCCACTAATATGCATATTAATTGGCAGCTAATCAATGGTTAATTTGTGTTCCCTAAACTAAAGTGTTACCTCTAGATCTTAGCCATACAGACTTTTTTATCATCCATGGAGTCGTTTTCTCACTAGATTCGTTTGCATAAAAATATAGCATTCAGAATCTTTTTCAAGCTTTTTTGTAGAAAAACATTCAGATGTTCTGGTTTATGCACGCCTACATAATGCTGTTATTGATTAGGAAAAGGCCACTTCCCCTGGGTTGTACAGAATCTCTGCTGTCTGTGAGTCTAACACATCTAATTACACTTTTAATTACATTCTAGAGCGGGCTGTTTCTGTCTTGTGTTCACAGGGCTGGAGCAAGGGCGTTGTGTTTCTAAATGGCAAGAACCTGGGACGCTACTGGTCTGTTGGTCCTCAACAAACTCTATATGTTCCTGGTCCCTGGCTTCACAGAGGAGACAATCAGGTACAGTGTCTGATCCATATGGTTGTGTACATTTGTGGTAAAATAAAAGCTTACCTTCTACAAAATATGAAGTAAGTTCAGAAACGTATGATAAGTCAAACCATCAAAAGAGCCAGATTCACTTAGAAGCTTCTAAAGCAATAGCGTGGAAGATTCATATGCAACCACAACATCTTGGCTCCTCCTCTTGCTGGTCACCAGTTGGGTCACATGTCGCTATGGGATGGTTTCCCATTCCTCCAAGGTATCCAAGAGGTGTCAGTCAGGAACACGTCACACACCTTTGGCTGTACCATCAAGATGATGTTGCAGGGGTTTTTAGAAATCGTTTTCTGGCACCACTACTTACATGTTTAATTGTGTCACTCATTCCATAAATGATATGCTTCATTGTAAAGGTACGGAATCAGGCTTTTTAATGATAGAAAATGTATTGTCATGAAACATTGTAACACAGAAATAATCAACAAGTTTTATTTTTGTGCTAAGTTCATATTATAAAAAAAAGGTTGCCCTTTCACACTTGAATGCCGCAGATAAGGAAACTGCCAAAGCGTCAGTTTAGCTTTGCTGATGATCGGTTAAACAGCTGCATTGATTAGATCTGCTTCACACTGAATGACTGCCCTGCTAAACTCTTCCTGACCTACACTATCCATTAGAGTGTTGCTGGATTGCAGCAGATTTGGACAACCTCCTCCAGTGCATGCTCACCAGATTGTTCTGGCTGTTTTCTGAGTCACTGAGATGCTCTTTGCATCCTGCCTCACCATGCTTTAAATATCATCAGCACCATAATGATCCTACTCACCGAGTCCCTGCAATGACTATCTGTGTTCTCCTTGCAGAAGCAAACATGATCCCTTTAAGACTTCTTTTTAGTAAAAAAGAATGTCTGATAATGCACACTCAAGTAGTGAAGTCATTTTTCTATATTTGTCTTCTTTCCAAAACTGATATTAGTCCATAATATGCTCTTCATTATAACTTCCAATCATCTTTCTAATTTTTTTAAAAACTAAATTGTGTCATTGGGGAATATTCATATTACTCTGTAGATTTTAATGATAGTTTCACCATTTTCTGGTGAAACTTATCCCAGGGTTTGCCCTCTTCCCTTCTCACACTGTTCTTCTCTGAGAGCTTGCATATATTGACACCAATGCTGAACCACCCACACTCACTGTCCTCTCTTGACTTTAACTGAGCTGTTTTTTTTTTGTGTGTGTTTTTACAGGTCATAGTGTTCGAAGAGCAGGAAACTGATGGTAAAATCCAGTTCACCAGCAGCCCTGACTATGGTATGACGGTAGATGTCCAGTGAAGCGGACAAACATCAGAGTGGAAGGATTTTGAGCAGAGCAGTGTGGTAGGAAATGATGGAAGTGACTGTTAGTAGATGCATGGGATTGAGCCAGACCAAAAGCCTGTCAACTCATCATATTAAAGTAGAGAAATGTGTCTTTCCTGACTGAGTTAACAACACTTTGTTAAATTGTCTTAAAAAGTTTTTTTTATGAGAGTCTTTTATTTGCACTACATAAATGAATTAAAAGAAACTGTGAAAGTGACTTCAGGTTATAAATGCTAACTGAGAATAAAGTCTTCTTTGACTTCTGTGTTGGTAACTGAGTCCACTGCATCGTGTTGGTTTTTCTTAGCCCCCGTGGCTAAATCAAGGTTACAAACTCACTTTGAAGACTTTTTTTTAACTCAGAAACTTTTGAGTCTGACTTTTCTTTTTTTTTCAAAGATTGATGCTGCAGTTTGGGTGTCTTTGAGAAGACTTTTTTATATAGATACAATGACAGAGCCGATACAAGTACTGGTAGCTTTGTTGGCGTAGGGTTTAAAGCATAATGGTAACGTAGATTTTTGTAAAATTGTTTCATTCTAGGTCGCCCGTAGGAGCTATTTGAAGAAATGCACTCCTCAAGAAAACGTTTGAGTTATAACCAACAGACTGACAAATGTCTAGTAGCATGAATCAGATGCATTAATGTGACATTGAATGACTCCCTTTTATTCTGGCAGCGGAGGACAATATCGCACTCTGCTGCCCGCACCTTCTCTGCTGATCATCGTGTTCCATGAGTGGTCCAGGGTGTAAACTTCTTCTTCCCTGTTCACACCACCAACATCGACAGTGCTCTGGGGAAGGCACAATATGAACACTGGATTGTTCTCATATTACTGTTAAATCTGTTCAGTCACCGTAATCTGGAGCTAATTTGTCTGCATGAGAATCTCAGATGACAAGTTGGGAGTGTCACAACTTTTTTTTCTGCCTGCTCTGCAGATGGACGAGCCATTGCTCAGAATTTCTCTTTCAGCAGCTTTGGGAGTCTAAAATATTCCTTCACAGGAGACTTGATGCACTAGGTGGAAACGGTTTGTTGGGGTTATTAGGAGCGAACAATTCGTAAGCTTTAACTTACTTTTGGATTCTTCAATAAATTCTGTAAATATGGGAATATTTACTCATTTATTAATTAATTAAGATATTCTTAGATATACGGGGCACCATTCCCCTTTAACCGGGGAAAAATTGAATCCAAAACTCTTATCAGTCTTTCTTGAAGTTCGTAGAATCCTTGGAGCAGAGACTTCTCTTCGACACAACAAAGCTACTGGAGACGAAAATCTGAATTTTATAACGTTTAATTAACAATTTGTCAAATGAATAAACAGTGGCATAGATGAATAATAACCATGTGATATAAAAGGATGTATATTCAAAATAATGTTCAAGGTGTTTTGTGTGTATGTATGTGTGTGTGTTTCTAAAATGGAGTCTGTATGCAAGATGGCTGACCCCTTTGTCTGGCTAAAGTGTGAGTGGCAACTTGCACTTTAACTTCCAAGGCACTTAGAATCATCAGTAACTTAACCTTAAATCACTCAAAACATTTCAAAGGATCATGAAACAACACAAAGGATTAATCACGAATAATATCTTTTAGTTTAACCACGTGGCCAAGCAGAAAACATTTAAAGATACCAAACAATGATCAATAAGCAGTTTATTTATTCAAAATGACCCGGCGGACGTGTTTTGGGAGCGAAAGAGGAAGACACGAAGCTACTTTTAAGCAATAGCGCGGTTTTATTGCTTATTCTGGACTATAGAGGAAACGGGAGAAGAAAAGGAGAGAGAGAAATGAGTTTTCTGATCACCAGAACAGTGAAGCGTCCCTCACTGTTTTGATTTGACGGTTCTCCGTATTTCTCCGCAGTTTGGCGTCATCCGTCGGTTTGATGCTTTCTCCGTTGTTTACCTCCACGAGTGTTTCTCCACGGGCTGGACACAAAGAGAACGAAGTTTCTTTTGTGCTGAGTTTGACAACTTACAGCGTCTCTGAGAGCTGGATGGAGCTCCGCTCGTTCCCAGTCAGGTCCTGATGGAGTTCGAGTGGCTTTGTAGCGGTTTCGTGGCTCAACTTGGGCACTTAGAGCTTCCGCGTGCTCAAGTTGTCGGAGCGTTCGACAAGCGTGTCCTTACCGCCAGGTATCCTGGGCAAAAGAACGAGGTTTCTTTGTCTCATTCATGATTTATAGTCTTTGAAGTCGCGGGAAAGCTGTCCAAGCTCCCGCCTCCCGCAGATCGTGTTTCTGGTATTAGGCGGTGACGTCATCACAATGCTTCCGTGTGCAAAGCATCATGGGAAATGAAGTTTCTTGGCACTGATGTGATTATTTGCTTTTCAGAGCAATTTAAGCACAGTCATTTTGGAGAAAATCACTGCATAGTAATTTCCTCATGAGGTCAGACCCTCAACATTCCCCCTTTTGGTTTCGGGGATCGCGCCCAAAGCTCGATCGTCGGAAGCACAGATGGGTTTGTTCCTCATGAACGTAGGTCGACTTGATTGTCGGAAGCACAGGTGGGTTTGTCCCTTAGGACGTTGGTCTCCTTGGACGCCTTTGTCTTTGGTCTTTGTCTTGGATCCTGGCGCCTTTGGTCTTTGTCTTTGTCTTGGATCCTGGTCAGGCACAAAACAAAAGAGGATAGGAAATGGGATAGTCCCCAACGCGCATAACGAGAAGAAGCCACTCACGCAGGTGGTACGCAATGAAGATGTCGTCCATGCGAGAGGTAGTAGTGTAGAAGGAGGAAGGTCGGTGGGCGGTTAACTCCACGAGGGGACACAAAGGCATCTCACCGCCGGCCATACAGTTCAGTTTATGGAGCACGCGGTGATGTACGAGGTCCATAGTTCGCAAACGTGCATTGACCTATGTGGTCCCAAGATTCCCCCCTTTTTGGTCCAAAGGGCGGATCAGGACAGTCTTTGGGCTAAAACAAGGACCATAAAACTAAGAGGTACTACAATGTGCTGGTGCGTCAGACAGAGTCATTGACAGACTGAGCTGGCCCGGCACATAACCACTAGTTAATATGTGACCAAGTAAGAAACAAAAATACAGAAAACCCCCCAAAAAAAAAAACATATAACATCCAAGAAAATTCATAGCAACCTTGAGGTCTCATAAAATACATTCTTAGGTCATACATTCAGTGTGTAGCTTATAAAGAATGTGACATACTGCAACACTCAGATAAATAAGTGAGGTAGACTAAAGTGAGAACTACTCTTCGGGTTACAGAATAACAAAGAAAATGTTGCTCACCCCCTTTAGACAGGTGTGGTACATTCACGCTTGGAGTCTCCCCGAACGCAGTTACGAGGCACACCGTAGGTGAGCAAGTGCATCTTATCTTGGAGTTTCTTAACACGCCTGTAGGCGGAATAAGCAATCACGGCCGTGATGAGCCATCCCATCCCCAGGGCGACCAATGTGCAGATTAAGGTGGTATAATCTGTGTCAATGTAGCGTCTTGGGCGTCAAAGTAAGTTCACGCGGGGTTTGTGTGAACTTAACAAATTTGGTTCCTTCAATCAGTAATTGTTGGTCAATTTCTAAATCGAAGGCAAAGTTATAACCCTGGAAAGCGTCCATGATCTCAATCTCCGAATCATGCTGTTCGAGGTTGAGGTGATGGAGTGCCAGGTTTCTAGTTCAAAGTGGAAATGCCTACCGTCTTTTCAAATACCAAAGTTCAGCATCGACTTAAACCTATAGATGTGAGGTGTCACAATTATGGGAACATGTAACAGGAAACCGAGTTCTAATTTTTCTGCATCAACGTGAATGGGAATTGCATTACCTAGGCTGTACGCTAGGTGGATTTGTGAAAGGTGCACAGTAGAGGGGTAGCAGCTGTCAAGCTAACTTTGAGCAGGTCCAGTGGTACCAAGTACGGGGAAATACGACTTTCAACCAAGCTGTCCAGCGTGGAACTTACTTCCCTGAGCAGGTCCTACATCAAATCTCTCACCACTCGTGTGTACACAATATCCTGAGGTATGGTTTCAGACAAAGTCTTGATTGCACGTAGAGATCCATTAATCAGAGCCTAGTGTAGGTACCAGAGTAGCCTGTAAGGTTTTAGTAGGTACATCCTGTTAGCGGTCTAGGAAGGAGTTTCTCTTGGTTAGTGAAAGTGACGGCGGGGGGGAGGCCTGGTTCTTTGTCGGTTAGTACATGTTAGTGGGTTAAACGTGCACTTTCCCCCCCTTTCCATTTCCATGCATAGAACTATGTAGAGACTACGTCTACCTCCTGCGGGGAGTCTGGTCTCTGTACCCGCGGGGATGGTTTGACGTAGGGTTTGATTTGGTTTGCATGCACCCATTTGTAGACAGGCTCCTGTCTAGCTTTGGTGATGCGTAACCTGTATGCAACTGGAGAGAGTTTTGCCACGATCTCAAATGGTCCTGACCAGCAGGGCAGGAACTTCTTAGCTTTGCGTGCCGGTTGGGCGAACCGAAAGTAGAATACTTTGTCACCCACCTCGTATTCGCGGCTGGTTGTCTTTTGGTCGTAGTAGGCCTTAGTGCCTTCTACGTTGGTCTCCAGTTTTTTCTGAGCGTGCGCGAACGTAGCTCTGAGGTGTGTTTTCAAGTCTGCCACATACTGATGAGCGGTATAGGCAGTGGCAACACTGACATCCTCTGGGTGATACAGGAGGTGCAGTGGTAGAGTCATCAGTCTGCCGGTCATCATCTCAAAGGGCGTAACCCCCGTGGATCGCTGGGGAGTGGACCGTATGGCCATCAGGACCAGAGGGAGCTTAACGTCCCAGTCCTTCCCAGTGGAGCAGACGTACTTTTTGAGCATAGAGACGACCGTGCGGTTCATCCGTTCGACCTGTCCGGATGACTGTGGGTGATAGGGGAGGTGGAATCTCACTTCCACTCCCAGAAGTTCAAACAGGGACGTCATTACACTGGATGTGAAATGAGTTCCTCGGTCAGAGTCAATGCAGAGTGGAAGTCCCCATCGACTGAAAACGTGGTTAATCAGCAGTACAGCGGTTGTGACGGCTGTATCGTTTGGCGCTGGAAGGCACTCAACCCACTTTGTGAAACTGCAAGTTACATTTAGCATATATTTGTTTCCTCTTGCCGATTTGGGAACCGGTCCAACCCAGTCGATCTGCAGGTGGGACCAAGGGAAGGTTATTCCCCTGCGTTGCAGTGGTGCTCTAGCAAGCGGCTGGGAGGGTTGAAACTGGGCACAGATGAGGCAGCCTTGGACATAGCTGTGTACGTCCTTGGACATCGATGGCCAATATGCTACTTCTGTCAGTGACGCGAGGGTAGCGTTTGCGCCGCGGTGACCTCCAACCGGAGTGTCGTGGGCGTAGGCAAGCATCACTCCTCTGTGGTCGAGTGGAACAACCCAGCGCGGCGGGCTGTGATCGTCACGCATGTAAACTAACAAATCGTTTTGTAGTTTCAGGTGCGCGAGTTGACGATGCAGGGTTACCAAATCTCGGCTTGCGCCAGTAGGTGGTGACGGTTGTTCAGGCATCGGGCCCTTTTGGAGAAGATCACGGATGAGCTTCAGGTCAGGATCTTGTTCCTGCATGGTGACTAGGTCCGCGTCCTGTGGTTTTCTGCCTAGAAACACGGGTACCCCAACGGTCCGAGGTTCGTCTGCCTGTTTAGCATGGCGACGAGTAATCGCGCAAACCTCGTGAACGGCCTTGGGTGGAAGCCACTCGTCTTTGAATTCCCAGCAGGTTCCCTGGTCAGCACCGAGCTTAGCAAGGCGGTCTGCTTCGTCATTACCATCTTTCTCCGGACCTAGGGTCCTGGAGTGACCTTTGACCTTTTTCCAGTAGACCATTATGCCTTTCTCAGTGGTGAGCAGATCACACGCTAGGAATAACTCAGAGTGTTTCACATCTCTGTTCCTGGCGTTTTTCATGTGGTTCTCCTTCCACATGGGGAAGTGAGAAATGAAGCTGTGTCTAGCGTAGTTTGAATCTGAGCAAAGGACGATTTGAGTGATGTCCAAGGCTGCCGCCTGCTGGAGGGTTATCAACACTGCAGCAATTTCGGCGTACTGACTAGACTTTTGGCCCAACCGGTAGTGGTTTGGTTGCTTGGTGTCACAGTCCACCCAAACGACTCCAACCCCAGCACGGAGCTGGCCTTCGTGAAGGTAGGCGCATCCGTCAGTGTAAACTTTCGGAAGCCCTTGGCAAACATTCTCATCAAAGTAGCGATGATTGGATGCGGTTGGGTAGACTGCGCAGGTGTGTCCAGGGGGCCCCTGATGGAGTCAGAGTCACAGTACTGGCAGCCTGCTAGCCCTTGTCCTAGCGCTAGCTTGGTGTTCTGACCATACTTGACCTCAATGTTGTATCCTTGGAGCACCATCATCCACGTCGCAATGCGG